CTGTCTCAGAGTTAGCGCGGCTGTAGGAGCCACAGGCAGTTCTGCCAACGCCTCACCGCCAGAGAGCATGTGGTGCTGCATCCTACGAACACACAGAGCGTCGTGGCTCCTTCTGGCCGTCGCGCTCCTGCCGGCCACTGTGGGGGTCATGGGGGGGGGCGGCTGCCAGGTGAGACTACTCTCTGAAGCCTCCTGCAAGGATGGGGGTGAGTGTCCCTACCAGCTCGCCCTCCCTCCCCTCACTCTGCAGCTGCCTAAAGAACTCCACCTGCTGGAGACAACAGCAAAGGAGCTGCAGATCCTGAGGACAACCGTGGACCAGCTGAGGAATTCCTGCCAGGCCTGTGGACCACGGGCCGACCGGAGTATGCAGGGAGACCGTGCCGAGGTGCCCGGCCCCGATTCCGAGCATGGGCGGCAGGGTCCCAGCGTGCGCGAGATGCAGGCGAAGATGAGTCGCATGTCCAACAGCCTGAGGAACGCCCGCAGCCAGATCGGCTCTTTACAGGGCCGTCTGGAGGAGCTTACTCTGCTCAACATGGAGAATGTGGAGGCCATGATGAACAGCAAAGTGCAGAACCTCACCGGAGCCCTTAAACAGCTCAGCTACTCGTGTTCCAGCCAGTGCTCTGCCCAAGCCTCACCCCAATGTAAGTGCAGGCCAATTATGACACTAAATGCTTTTTAGAGCCCAGTACGACTCCACAATTCGTTAGACAGCTATACCTCGCAACAAAACACTGAAGTTTGCCACAGAGGAGACAGCCAGACTGAAAGGTTCTTGACAGTAAGGGGTATACAATCCCCAAATCTTCATCTTCTTGAGCCTAGTATCTTATACATGACAACATTATTTATTATCCATTTATTATTCTTAATTATCATTAATTATTTTGCTTGGTGGGTGTTTTTGTCCAGTGTTTGGCTAGCTGTATGAGTAGATATTTTTGCAATTCAGCAATATTGTAATGTTGTACTCAAAATTTTGCCATTTGCAATTGAGGAGGGAAACATATGTTCGTCATTACATATAACGCTATCCCCTTAGAGATCCATGAAGCACTTTTACTTAGTGCTTATGTATATGAAACTATTCTGATATTTTTGGTGCTCTCCAGCAAGGCCAGGGACATGGGTCATTATTGCCAAACGTTTTATTTCCAGTGGATGGAGCCAGCACAACTAGTTTTGACCTATATGCTGACTATCATTTGCACAGTCCTTGTAGCGCCAAGGGACTGCTCCGACTACAACGTGCCAGGAAAGAGGAACGGGCTGTACCGCGTGACGCCAGACCCCAGGAACGGCACCTTTGAGGTTCTGTGTGACATGGAGTCCTACGGAGGTGGCTGGACCGTGCTGCAGCAGCGACTCGACGGCAGCGTCAGCTTCAACCGCACCTGGGATGCGTACAAGCACGGATTCGGCAACCTGCGCGGCGAGTTCTGGCTGGGCAACGACCGCATCCACCTGCTGACCAAAGCCAAGGATATGGTTCTGCGGGTGGAGCTGGAGGACTTCGAAGGTGTGCGTGAGTACGCCAAATACGAGCGGTTTTACGTGGCCGACGAGCTCCTCCGCTACCGCCTCTCTGTCGGCGGCTATTCAGGCACGGCTGGGAACGCACTGCGCTTCAACAAGCTCTATGACCATGACCAGAAGTCCTTCACTACTCCAGACAAGGACAACGACATGTATCCCTCTGGAAACTGTGGGGCATTCTACAGCTCCGGATGGTGGTTTGATGCCTGTATGGCTGCAAATCTCAACGGGAAGTACTACAACAAGCCATATAAAGGGGTACGCAATGGAATTTTCTGGGGAACGTGGCACAATATGTCCAATGAGTATTATCCAACCAATTACAGACAATCTTTTAAGACTGTAAAAATGATGATCAGGCCCAAAAATTATACACCATAAAGTCATTGATGTTGTGAAGGGAGGTTTGATCTTTCCTCGATCTATTTTGTGCAGTCGCCGGAATGTTTGCATTATAGTTCTTGATCTGGGACGGTGATTGAAGTTATACAAAAAAGCGCATGCATGCACAATGTGCATTTTCAGAACAATAATAAGATCCGAAAGAGACGAAGCTCCAGGAAAATGGCATATAGCTGAAGTACAGGCATGGAAAAGTGCTTAATGATGACAGACTGACCTCAACCTTTATATAAATCATGATAAACACCCTTTGTGCAATAGAGACTGAAATGACTCTGAAAGGGCTTGGGAGAGAGGAATTTCACTGTAGAAAATAGAATAGACAAACAATAATCATATTCTAACTGTAGTGATCCCACATTCTTTACAAAATTTGTGGTAGTAAATTTGCTGTGATCCTGACCAGGATAAGTGGAGAAGATAGATGGATTAATGACTTCAGTGTGTTAAATGGTATCCACATAATCATGGACACACCACTTGTATCTCTGTCACCACCTGTGACACTTCAGACTAAACTTATATATCACAACAAGACTCATTCTTTTACAATACTATACAGATTATTATGCTGGGTGCTGGAGGAAAAATACATATTTTTATAGATAAAGCAGATCTATTTATGTGAGACAATAAATTGTAATACAGCTACAAATACATGACCCGTAAATGTTGTATTTTATGCTGCCATATTTTGCTTTGGAATAGATTATGAGTCTAGACTGGACTGAGAATCCACACAATATTTACTGAATTAAAAATACATCTAATGTATTTATTATATGAAAGTAAATTAAAAAATAGAATTTCATATAAAATATATGCATATAATCCTGTTGTTGGACAACTGAAAATGTAATAGATTTCTATAGAGACAAAAATAAAATATCTCTCATTTCTGTCCAGAACGAGATAGATTGCCTCTAGCAGAAAATGAGTTCTATTGGAACTCAATACATGTGTTGATCATTCATTCCAGCATGTATTTGTCAACTGTTCCATGACATGATTTGGTGGTATGAGACAGTGATTAATTACTACCCTATAATTAAAAAAATGTTAAAAGTCTTTTTATGTGTTACTGATGTTATTGAATTTTAGCGTCTTCTGTATATCTTTAATGAAAAATCACAGCAATTCAGTGACAATAATTGCATTATTTTAAATGGTGGCTGGGCTGTACCTCTTCCAGACACTGGATGGCAGGATTCGCGGCGGCGAACGCCAGGATTTCTTCCTGAGAATCAGCCTGTGGGGCCAGAGCTGAGATGGGCCTCTCCTCTGGGCCGTGTTCCTCTGGGCTGTGTTCCTCTTCCTCACTACAGACTGAGCCCTTCATGGTTCTGGCTTCCTGTCACAGCCACAAAAACACAGATGTAAGATTTTATTCAGTCAAACCATCACCACAAATCAGATAATTTAGCCGCCACCATCATCATCATCTTCTTCATCTTCATCATCATCAGCAGCAGCAGGGCACAAAATCGCCACAGATTTTTCATTGCTCATATGCTTTAACTAAGTGGACCAAGCCAGGCATAAACATACTGCATAAAATACTCCTAACTGCCTGAGGAGGTTACAGGTGAATGACAGGTGAACACATGAACGGTATCATTTGTCTTAACATTCTAACAGTATCAGACCGCAGGCCTGAAGTTGGCCAGGTAGCGCACTGATACCCAGATCCGAATTAAAACTTTTTGCGTTCAATTAGCGCCATCTATCGGACGGTTGCTTAAAACTAACCACAGCTCAAAGAATTAAGTCGCTGCTTTGGACAATACTGTACAAAGCTTACACAAAGTCTGTCAATTCTCAATTAAAATTAACCACGTAGTTGATTATATGGTTAGCAAGGTATGTAAAAAAGTGAAATAGTTCACTTGGTGGTCGCTAAATAAGTATGTATATTGGTTTAAAATTAAACCAATCTTGAAATTTTTTTTAATCTAATTTTGAATCTATTGACATATATAGGTCACTAAACGCAACTTGGAAAGCTAGCCTGCCACTTTAACGTAAATGACGATGAATATTTTCGTTATCTAGCTTGACATCTTGACTGGCGAGAAAATATCCACTGAAAGTTCGTATCTTACCGGCTTCACTTCGAAACTCAAATGAATTTCATATTTGGACTTTAAAAGTCAAATTAAAATCCTCTCTTAGGTTATTTTCGTTTCTGAAAACTCACTTGTGTTCCGCAGCGGTGATTTGCTGTCGAATAAATCTGCGCGTCTGCTGTTTTGTGTACAACATGTACAGGCACGCTGGGGACTGGTCTCCATGACAACGTGCAATCGGCGTCTTTACTGTGTAATAATCGACCACATATACGTTATTTAGTTAAGCATTAAGTAAACAAGTTATTTAAATATTCTATATAAAATAACTTTATAGACATATAGTTACTACTGTTGTATTGCGAAACTATATAATTATTACTATATGGTATAGCTATGAGTCTATGACTCCTACAAAAAAGATTAAGACGATAAAAAAGTTCACACTTACTGATATATTTACATAGAAAGAAAATTGTGAGCGAAAATACAATAATTAACGCGTGAAAATTGCAATAAAGGATAAGTAAACCTTTAAAGCAATGCTTTCTTGTCTTGCTGAGGGGGGGTCCCCAGCATCTGTCCTTGTCAACTTTTGTTAAGGTGCTGCACGACATGAGGGTCTAAAGTGAATGAGCGCATTTAAAAATTATTTTAAATGATGAACTAGAATTTTAAAAACCCATGCAAATTCACCAGGAAAGGCACTATCAAACATAAACCTGACTTAAACTGACAATGGCAGCAATATACTGTACTATGATTTAGCATGTATGCCAGGAAAGCTGAGAACAGCAAGTCATCTCATATAAGAAAAGAATTGCATCGACAATATGACCATTTGTACCAAGCATATTTGGAACTTACACAAATGTAAGAGAGCAGTTTTGTGCGATTGTAGACTGTCAGATTCTATCAGTAACTGACGAATACGTGTTTTAATGGACTGCGCAGCATGCCCGTTGCGCGTGAGCATGACATAAACATGGGCGGTATGTTCCGCGGCTGCTGCTTTGCGCGTGATCTGAAAGGGCCGGGAACATGGTCGCGCGTTAGTTATGCTGCGCACTTTGCATTATTAGTGGACGTACTTAATTGTGGTCATGACCTTTTATTTCACAAGAACTCAACGACTATGTCGGGGACTTGGAGAAATATTACGTCGGGAAGAAAAAAGAGGTGCTAAGGGCTGTTGTATTGATATCTCCTTGCAGGACGTAAGAAACCTGTCGACGTCGCCTTGTTTTCAGTCAAGTGAACTTAATAAACCTTTAAAGCAGTGGACATTTGTCGTTAGCCCTTTCAGTACCGTGAAAGCACAGCTGCGCTGCAACATCTCAGTTAGATCCCTGGATCCGCACTCGTTCCCCGAAGCAAACCGCGCGTTCATCACGGTCCACGGCACCAGCGCGGACCAAGGACTCAAGCTTGACAATTTCTACGTGCAGTACGATGACCAAAACAAAGAGTTGCACATTTTGTCCGAAAAGGTCAATAGTAACGTGTCTGTTGATTTGACAGCCCCAATCAAAAGTGGTAAGCGTTATTTAACTACTTTGTGCACTAATGACCTTGTAGCAGCCCAGATCGCAGAGGCAGGATGCTAACATCTAATAAAGTCAGGTATGAAGTCATGAAAGCGTAGGCTGTAACAGCAGGAAAAGTACAAAACCGTTGCGAGAAGGCGCACGCTGAAATGTTGTTTCTCCTCGTGGTCAGATCTTTGTATTACAACATCGGGGGACGGCAATGTGGAAATCGTGGAGATGGAGTGTAACAACTGCAAGGTAGTAACAGAGAATGGAATCTGTGTCCTGCACTCTGTAAAGGTAAACATGACGTCCAGGCTGTCGTCACCTTTTCTCATTTATGTGTCCAACTTCTGTTTACTCGAGAAAATATCAAGTCAGTAAAAATAATATATTTACTTTTCATGTTGTCAGTTCTCCACTAGAGGTCGCTCGTTGTCCAATTAAATTTCACTAAATCTGTAGCTGTACAAAGACATATTAATGGATCCTTGATTAAAATCTCCTCACAGAGAATAAGCTTGAATAGTCTAAAACAACAACACCAATAACAATAAATGATTGACTTGCTGAAGTGGTTTTACATTCAGAAATCTGGACATATTACATATCATAGCTTCAGCTCCTATCCCGTTTATAAAAGTAATTTCTATGAATGAAATTGTGCTGTGCTTTTTTCATGTTTCTGTAGCTTATTTATTGCACCAGGGTAATAGCAACCCTAAGCAAGATGCCTTTAAATATATTTTATGAGCTTTTTCGGCTCGTTAATCGTTCATTAGAAGCAAACAGGCCGTGCGGCATCTTAATCATGGCTAATTCACACTGTCTCAATTTCCTGTTAAAGGGATAAAATGTCACACAAAATGAATGCTATCAGACAGCAATAGTACTTAGAAATGTGATACATATATTTATTAATTTCTTCTCATTAATTTACCCGCAGGGTCACAGGGTGATTGTGAAATCAGCGGGAGGAGACATCAAAGGCACTGGCACCATTCATGGGAATGTGGACATCAGCACATCTGGAAATAGTGTAACGTTTGTTTCCCTTGTTTCTGATGCAACATGCCGAATTTTGGAGACAAAGAAACACACCTTGATTTCAGTTCAGCCTAATGTGCAAGGGAGTTGAAGAAAGCATTCATCTGAGAGAATTTTTGGTAACTGAAGCACTTTTCATAAAATACCTTATTCCGTTTTTTTTTGCTTATTTTGTCAGATGGTTGATATCAAGAAGATTCAGGGAACAAGCCTGAATGTTTCTACAGAGCACGGACCGCTAAAGGTTAAGGCTGTATATGCGGTGTCTACCTCGCTGTCATCTTCCTCGGGAAATGTTGAATTGGGAAGTGTGCATGGTATGCGGCACGCCGAAAGCATATTTTCGCAAACAAAATCCTGGGCAATTAAGCAAAAAATATAGTGCACGTATCTTTAAAAGAAATGGTATCACGCAAGTGCGTCTTCGCTGCATGATAGCGGAATACTGTATATGAACCTTTTTCTGCTGGTTATTAGATTATTAACATCTGCAGCAGGAGAGAGTTCCAGTTTGCGTTTTCTGTTTAATATCACTGGTGTTTTTCTATAGGGATGAAATGTGTAGGCCGTGAGTGTATGAGGGCCAAACTCACTGTGGTCCTTCCTGGCACAGGCCAAGCTGATGGGAAGGAGCCTAGACATGCAAGGATTGGGTTGACAGACAGACCAAATAGGGTGCTTTTTGAGCACTGGTGGGGGGGGAACATGAGGTGGGAGAGCAGCAAGGGGTAATTGCGCTGGATAGTATGTCTGTGACAGCAAATGGAAACAATTAGCTGCGTCTGCTCTCGAGAACCGGAGTCCCTGAGGAAACAACCACAACAGACAGAACCACAACGCACACACACACTGACACACACGAGAGCACAGCAAGTTTGTGATGTACATTAATATATGTCTCAAAATGGAAATGGAGCCCAAACCACGTTGAGGGATCTCAGTACAGTCCCCCTCCCCTTTTTTTTCTGAATCAAGCTGTGTGTGGAAACGCAGAGACAAATTCTTTTTCCGGTCGTGTGAGGTAAGTGTCTCTTTATAGGCCAGTCCACACTTTCGATTATCATACTTTTCCACTTAGTATATTTTGGGTTTTTTTTTCTCAACCCTGTGATGGCCGAGTGTGTATTTAAATATAAGATTACATGGTTTTTCATGGAAATGTAGTATGCAATTTTAAATGGTTATATAAAATATACAGCATATTTAAAATGTTATGCCAACAGCATCCAGGGAAGCGTTGCATTTAAGGTCACAGTGTCTTCCAGCATGTTGAACCTCCAACTAACATTAACGTTGTTTTTATTAACAGGTAACACGACAGTGTGTACAAAGACGGGGAACATCATCATTGGTAAACAGAATTGTGATGTGTTCAGCTGCACTCGACATTTATGCGCCTGATGCCTCTTGTTTGTAGTGGAAAATATTCATTGCATGATTCCTTAAGATGTGCCTAAAGAGGCCGAGAGACGTTAAATGATGTTTTCCATTGTATGCGTACACAGCTTTTCTTAGTTTTGCTCACTGGCTGCAGTCTGTATCCAGTTATAGAAAGCGGTGCATTTTTTTTTTTTCAGTGAACAGATTATATGAAACCAAAATTATAGCTTTCATACATTTGAAGGGATGTGTTGTGGTGTAACTAAAAAGTAAAACTTTGTAAATATCAGACACTGGGGCAGAATTCAATGTTCATCCTAGACTTTCTTAAGAGAAATACCCCCCCCCTTTTTGTTTTAAAGCAAATGAAAAATTGCTAAATTTTAAAAGGCCCTCGTGCAGCACTCCAGATTGGGCTTCGTCATGCTTCATGTCTTAGGTGGTCGTGGGGCAGCCGTAGCTACGCAAACAGCTGGGTTCTTTTTCCAGTGTAGCTGCCCCCTGCTGGTCGGGACGGGGCCAGACCTACATTAGACCCTTGAATCATCTGCTATCCAATCCACCAAAGCCAGAGACGCCCGTTTCAGACCCACTAAAGCAGGTCTGAAGATGGCTGGCGCATGTGTCAGAGGTTAGGGGCATGTGAATCACGACTCTGGTCTTCCTGCCTTTTCAGATGGGTCATATGGCTGTCTAAAGGTTTTCTCCCATGAAGGAGATATTGATGCCTATGTAGGCCAGCATGGGACTGCAGATCTACACAGTGAGCAAGGTAAAGATGTAAGGTGTGACATAGAGTATTTATTTACAGACTTTATTGCGTCGTTTTCTAGGGGTGTAAACCATGCAGAAATAGGTGATGGGGCTGGTGGAGACTTTATTGATGTAGATAATGGTGGTGTAAGTCTACTGATGTAGATGGGAGTGGTGATGTAGTCTTTATTGATGTAGATGGGAGTGGTGGTGTAGCCTTTATTGATGTAAATGGGAGTGGAGGTGTAGCCTTTATTGATGTAGATGAGAGTGGTGATGTAGTCTTTATTGATGTAGATGGGAGTGGAGGTGTAGCCTTTATTGATGTAGATGGGAGTGG